TGTTTGAATAACTTTGGCAGTTTTATGGGCCTAAAATATAAAAAAAAAAAAAGAAGAGAGAAGTATCCCCAGCTCTGTATTTCAGGACACAGAATGATGACCAGCTTCAGGAATGAGTCTTGATCCTTTGACTTCTCACGAGCAGCATGGGCTGGAGTCCCAGTACACAGTGACCTATTGTTTTCACTTAAGCTGTGAAAGATGGAGATGTGCTGTCATTTGATGTAGAGGAATCACTGAAATCAGCCTGGCAAACCACTGAGAATGTTGCAAGTGATAGCTAATTTTTTTATGGATTAATTCATTGCCCTACAGTAACGAGATAGGATTCTTTGGCAGGGAATCAGTCAGCTTGGTTCCTGGCTGTGGCATATTTAGGTTTGTGTTATCACCCACTGCCCTCACTTGTGTAGCATAAACTCCTGAGGGAACTTGTGAAGTGATGGGTTTTCTTTTGTCTGGCCTGCTTTGCTGATGAACCCCTCAAGCTGCTGGAAAAGACCTGTTTTATGCCAGGCCAGTATAACCACCAGCCAGGCATGTAGGTCTGATTTCCTAAATTAAAAGACTGATTTACTGCACTGTGTAAGTTGGGTTTTCAATCTACCTGCAACCTGAGAACTCAGTCGCTTAGGGCAGGTACAATACAAGCAGTTGGTGATGCAGATAAAGCCAACAAAAAAAAAAAAAAGAAAGATGTGATTCTATGACTGCTAATTGCTCTGATACCTTTGCTACCCTCCCTGCAGTCTGTGTTTCCTTCTGACCTGGGATACTGTCACTGTCAGCAGTGAAAGCTATCACAGCTCTCCTTTTTTCTCTCCCTTTTCCTCTCTCTGGTTCCCCTGGGGACAGAAGATCCTGGCAGCTAGATCAACCCCAGGCTTTTGCCTTTTGTTTTCCTGTACTTTTCTCTTGGCACAATGCAGAAGTTTGCAGTGTTGTGCTTCCACAATCGCATGCTAAAATATTTGCACAGCTGTCTGATGACAGAAAAGGGGGGAAAGAGAAAATCCACTCTTCTGTTATTTGAAAAAGATAAACCAAACCAAACCAACAAACAAACAAACAAAGTTTAACATGAATTAATAATGTAAAATCTTCTGTTTTCCCTTCTCTTTTATAACAGAGTCCTCAATCAGTTTGCCTGGCTCCCCTCTGTCTGTGCTTCACCTTCTTTTTCTTGCACACATAAACCCACACTTTTGTGCTTCTCTTCCAATGCCTCTGGGTTCAAACACCCATGGACTCCACTGCCCACCTCTGTGCACTCACTCCAGCCTGTTCTGGGGTACAGAAATAGGACCAACTCCTACAGGCTGTAATCAGGCATTCTTCAGGCAAATCTCTGACTGAAGTCAGTGGAAGTTTTGGCACAAGGACGGCGAAACTAATTACATTCCTCCTCCAAGTATATATATATATATATTTATGTATATTTATATATCTGGGACAGTGATGACAGATAAGAAAATACTGCCTAGGAAGAAAGTCCATTAATAAATGAGATGTAGATGTGGGGAAGAACAGTTGATTGAATTATTTATAATGCAGTTATAAAATTGCTGAGTTGCTGAGCTTTCCAGAAACCCATCAATAACATGCATGACCATAGCAGCACTTAGTAGGAGTGTAAACAAGCAGGAGCATGGATCTCCATGAAAATCAGGTGTGGAAAAAAAAAAAGTCTAGGATATCCAAATCATTTAGAACAGGATATATTCTAATGTGGTCATAGCTTTCCAAAAGCCTTGAGAACTGGTTATGAGTTAATTTTACCAGCAGTGCACCAGAGAATCTCAAGCAAAAACCCATCAAACGTGGGCCCATATTTTAAAAATAGAAAAAACAGCACAGACACTTCCTAATAAGCCTAACTATAGATCAGAGTGAGAAGAAAATTTAAATATTGGTTTAAAATAAACCTGGATAGTGATACTAAGAGCAAAATGAACCTGGATGTTTGAAAGAACCAATCTTGTCAAGTATTTTTTTTGGTCAGAATTATCTAATTAGTGACTGATGATACTAGAGCATTAGATCCTTTGGTGCCATGAGTGGAAGATTCAACTTCTCAAATCTTCAGCAGCCAAAAGAAGGGGAAGTGAACAGGCCAACAAGCACTTTTTCAGCTTTGACATCTACAATTCACGTGCAGGGGCTGCACTCCCACCACCACCAGCTCCCTTCCTACACACATAAACACACACTCCCTGCCTTTATGCTGCTCTGGGGCCACACACAGCTCTGTCCAGTGTCTGCCCTTCCCATCAGCCAGCCTCTTCTCTGGGAAGCATCAATGCCTCCTCTGAACAGAGGCCTCAGCTCAAGGTGTGTTTCCACCCTGGTCCACCAAGCTTGGATTGGGTTTTTTTTTAGGTTTTTTTTTTCAGGTATTTTTTTCAGTCTTTCTTCCAGTCCTCAGTCGTGAGCTCCAGACAAAGCCTTCCTTTCTGTGAGGGAACTTCAGAACCAGGAATGTGGTCTGGACATTTATGGACAAAGGAACATTCAATGTTTCTGCTCCCGTTGCCTCCTGATCATCAGGAAGAATGGCTGTGCTGTGTCTTCAGCATTCCAGCTCAGTTTCTGAAGTCTGTGTCCTCCTGTGGGCACACACTTGGGGATAGCCCTGTCTTTGTTTGTGTCCAGGCACAGGGAGGCAGTCTCTGTGTGCTGGTCTGGATCCAGCAGACAGAATGTCATTTCCAGCCCGTTGGCCTCCCAAACGTTCTGTTTGTGCAATTAGCCTTATGAGGCCACTGATGAGAAATGGGTGCTTATTAGCTGCTGTCGTTTTTATACCCTCTTCCCTAAGTAATGGCACAGCAGCCCTCGTGATCCCATTAAACAGCTCTGACTGCAGGAGGAGAAAGCTGCAAATGGAAAAGACTTCTCGGTGCTGCAGGCCAAGCCCAGCCACCTCCTCTCCCCTGCATTCCTCTGCTGCTTTCATGCTCCCTGAGAGGCCAGCATTATTCCTTCTCAGGATTGTCTTCTTCAGGGGACAGCTTCATTTTGAATGGCTTCATGCTTCACACCCAGAGGCACCAAGTCTTTTCCACTAAGCCAAGCATAAAAATAGCTGAGGGAAGGGGTGGGGGAAGGAGTGTCAGCAAAACAGATTTATTTAATTATATGTACCAAGCAACACTTTCCTATGTGAGACCAAGTGTGCAGCTCAGCTTCTGATCTTGCTGCATTCTCATGTAAGGTTACTGAGGAAACAGGCATAAAATGCCTGTGATAACTTGAATTTCTGTAAGATGCCTTCATATGTTCAGTAACCTCACACATGTGTGGAGCTGGATGCTCCTAAGCCTGGGTGTGCTAATAACTGATTTTGAACAAGGCACAAGGGTGTCTATGTGTGGGGGTGATGCTGTTAAATCCAGCACCTGTAATCAGAAGGCTCCAGACTCCCTTAGGCTGGGCCTAGATGGACTTTCCTACTCCACAGAGATATTCTGCACTGCCAAGCCCAGTGGCGTTGTCGTGGCCATCACCGTGTTTGGTGATGTTCTCCAAGTCCCATTTAAGAATCCTGTAAACACAGGAGAAATGAAAGTTTTTTTCTAAACCAAATTAAGTTTTAATCCTTACAGTACATTGGAGGAAAGCTGGAAAACTCAGTCTGAAGGCAGAGGCAAAGATAAGTAAAAAGATTAGACTTTTTATTTTAACATGTAAGATTTTTTTTTTGCCTGCTCACAGCTTTTATAATCCAGTTCAATTCTTTCCAGCCCTTCTGGCTGATACTGCTGTTCTTAACTAGTCCCATCTCTGCTGCTGCAGATTGCAGTGGAGCAAAAGGTACTTGACTCCGTGTCACGATGGGATCTTTAACATCTGGATTTTGGCCCCTGGAGGCCTGTCCCTACCCAGCAAGTTGGGATGAGCCAGTGTCACAGATTGCCCAAACAACCTGGGTTGAAAGTGAGGACGGGAGAGTCAGCTAAGAAAGCAAATGTGTGGGTTTTGCTCCTGTGTGTTTGTTTTTGTCCACACCACCTACGTGCACACAGAGCTGTGTTTGTTACTGAGAGAGGAAACCCATTACCTTAAAAGAAGCACTTGGCTTTAAGAGAGAATAATAAGGAAAGCAACAAAGAACCGTTAGCAACATTTTATAAAGAAGATGAGATAAATAGTCTGTCTCATAAACAAGTGGTATTATTTAACTATCCAAGGAGCTGCTTTCCAAAACAAGGCTGAATTGTTCATTGTCCAGCAAAATAACGCCTGCTTCTGCAGCCTTGGCTGCTTTTCTGACTACAGCCCAGAGTCTGTAGATCTCCACTGTGGTGGACTAACATTACTGCTAATGTTTGTGTCAATGTTATAATAAAAATTAGTAGATATTAAGGCTCAGAAATGACAGCACCAAGACTTTTCAGTTGAGGGGACAGGAACAAAGGAATCCTGCCTGCCCTGAGCTTCCCCGTAGCTGTAACAGGGCCTCACAGACACACTTGTGCTGGGCCGTGCTGGCAGAGAAACGCTTGGCACAGCAATCCCCTCCTGCTCTCTCAACTGCTCATTCACCTGCTCACAGAGACAAGATTATATCGCACCATCCCAGCACTGCTTCAAACACCGGCGAGCGTGCGCTCCTGCTCAGGTATTCACCAGAACAAGGTTTCTTTTCTCCTCTTTCCACAAGCCGTGGTGTTTCTCAGGGGAAGCCAGCAGCTCCCTCGGGGTTATGCCAGCTTTCCTACACCACAGAAACAGGATTAAAGATGCCGTAGAGCTCTGTGAGCGGAGTAACCAAGGTGGGAGGGAGGGTGTGTGCGGGGTGTGAGGGAAATACCTCCTGTACAAAACAGCCTTTTTAAAGAAACGGGAGGATTACTCAGGTCAGAGGAATCCTCGAAGGAGGAGGCAGCGCATCCATTCGGTGCTCCCATTGCCGCTCCCTTAGCCAGCCACAGGGGACCACTGCTGCGTTACTGTGGCAACCGTGACGACTTGGCAGCCAGACCCATCATCACTCAGCCTCCTCGAGGCTCTGCGAGATGCTCCGGCAAAGGCTGCCACAAGGAGATTTGCAGCCGAGATCCCGTCTCTTCTACATTTTGGCTTTACCTTGCAAGCCTAGAGGAGGAGAAAATCGCTGCTAGGAGCCCTGCGAAGAGAAGCCGTGTGGAGGCAGGGCACGGGGAGTGGCGAGGGGCTCGAATTTGGGTGTCTGCCCCTGCAGAGGCGAGCTGCGAGCACCTGTCGGGGAGGAGCTGACTCATGTGAGAAGAAGGTCATTCCCGCAGCTCTGTGAGTACCGACCCAGCCAGCCTCTCCTACCTTCTGCTGCAAATGTTATTTACTGTTTGTCGTTGACTAGGAAATTCCGGGCTTTCTTGTGTCTAAGGGGAGGGATTTTCTTTTGTGCTAGCTCTAGGCTTCTTGCAAAATCTGTGAATGCACTGGCTTTTTGTCCTAGGCATGAATTCCTGCAGGGACTGCAGCCTTGCCATTAGCAGCAGGTTTCTTGCAGGAAGCTCGATGAGATCTGCAGTTTGCAGGGAGCACTGCACAATCCCTACCTTAATACCAGGTTTTGTGCTCCAGCCAGCTGATACATCCCTGTATCAGCTTTTCCACTTAATTCATGGTTCCAGCCTTTGTTGTACAAGCTGACTTATTTGCTTTCATTGAGATTAAGAATTGAAGCAGTAAGTAAATCAAATGCTTGAACAGGTGCAGAAAGAGTATTTGCCCTGTGTAGGATAGAGTTACAAGCAGTTTCACCGTGATGAGACAAACAGATGCTCCAGATAAACTGCTGATAAAAGGAATTGTTACACTGGCAAAGATCCACCACGTTCCCCTGTAGCACATGGGTGTCACAGTCAAGCATACAGACAGTAGCCATGGGTGAGATCAATCTACCATGGCTAACAATAGGCATCTATAAATGTAGTCATGTTACTGAGCAGTGTGATCAACAGTTTTAAATCATGTCCTGAAAAATATTAATGGAACTTAGTTATCTGTGAAGAGAATACACTGTTTTGTAAGGAAAGTAATGCATTGCAAAAAAAAAAAAAACAAACAAAAAAAACAAAACCAAAAAACCAAACAATTGTAAGGAATAAGAAGGGAAAAGAAATCAAAGGTTGTACACTGTAGATCAGAAATCCTGATCAACCTGCAGCCTGCTCACATGAAAGGCAAAGAGATTTCTTTTTCTTGAATTTGGTGCTTGTTCTGTTCCTTAATCAGACAGCAGCACTGGGGCATCTCTAGCTGTAATCTCATTAAGACTATTAGGCTGTGATTGTGCTTGTGGTCTGTTGCTGGCGTGCATTTGGGCAGCCAAATGATCCTCAGAGCTCTCACAGTCGAGAGGAGATGAGGGTCCCTTGTTTCTCACGAGGTTTGAAGATCCTACATCCTCGACTTTGGAGAGGCACAGTTTGCAAAGCAGCCAGGAAGGCAAACAGGGGCAAACAGGGGCAAACAGGGGCAAACAGGGACAAACAGGGACAGGTCCCCTCAGCCCAGCACACAAGGGCAGTTTGTGAGCACGGCGTCTCTTGGTGTGATGGGAGTCACGTGTGGGCACAATAATGGCACAGCAGCCTCCCCTCAGCGTGTAAATAGCATAAAGCTGTGCCTGTGCGAGTGCTGGCATGACAGGCTGGGCTACTACAGAGCAAAAACAGAAGTCAGAAATTAATGATGTGCTCCTTTCTCCATGCCAGAACCACTCCTGTGTCCTGCTTTGTCCCGCCTGTTACAACTAACACAAGCATAGCAAATTGTGTTTAATTTGCCTCTTTGACCAGACTGAAAAATATGTGGATGATATTTCTGGAGTCAGATAGAACTCTTTGCATTCAATTTTAGCCCATTGCTCCTCATTGCAATTCCGGGTGACACCATAAATACCTCTGGCTCCCCTTGCTCGCCCCTGCACGGCTCAGGTGTCTGTTGATAGCTCTGTTCCTGGGCAGCAGTGGAGCTGCAGTGCTTCTGGAGGCCAGAGGAGTTTGGCAGCCCCCTGTGTGAGCCCTGCACATGTGGATCTCCTGCACACAAGCCCACAGTGGCTGATGTCATCCGCGCATGAGCCTGGGGAAGCAGGCTGCTGAATGAGTGCCAGTGTACCACACAGTTCATAAATATGGAAAAGCAACGGGCCCTATCCCAACAAGCTCGGATTCAGAAACATTTAGCAGATGTTCTGGCTGTGGGGGAGGAAAACATGAGATGAATAACTACAGTACTGCAATAGCAAATACTTTGTTGATGAAACTGCACAAAAATTAGAATGACAAACACACCCTTACCAGGACTTTGACCCATCCATAAAACAACATCAACATGTTTTATTAATAGTAGTTCCACATTCTCAAGATCAATAAAGTGACTTCATTGATTTACTTTTCCCTTTTTATTAATACTTCTCTAAACAGTGATGAATTTGGATTGAACATAGGTAGAGTCTTTTTTATAGCTTGTCAAAGAACAGTTCCAGTAGCTCTAATAAAGCAATAAGCTTCTCAACCAGGACAACACAGCTAAAGAGAACCTAACCATGGTTAAGAGTTTGAAGGAAACTGCTCTGTACATTTCCTTAAAGGAGTAAAAAGCTGTTGTTTTAAAAACAAGCATAGTAAACATAGCTCAGGCTCTCCCTCAATCCAAACTCCAAATAGTAAACATGCCTTTTAGACCTTGATGCATGCTCTGTGGAGTAAACCAATCTCAGCTTTACAGGCAGCTCTTGTGGGGAGCTTCTGTAGTCCAAATTAGATGAAGAAACAATGAAGGGTCTCAATAATGACCTTGCAGGAGTTGCCATTACATTTCACCGAAGTACATTTGAATCATTCCCTTTGGTCCTTCTTGGGGACTGTCTGAGTACAAGGAAATGTTGTACCTGTGATTTTTTTGGTTGGTGTATTAATTATAGGCCATCAGTCTAGCAGTAGTTCATCTGGGTATGATGTTCTTGAATAACTGTATTTTCTTCCTTAACAAACACTTGTCTTACTGCTTTGGATGATCTCACACCTCTTTACACACTTGAACTGTTGCTCCTAAAGCATGAAGTGAAACTCAGCTGGGCTACTCTTCCCAGCCTTAATGTACCATTTTGGGAGGGAGTTTTCTGCACTTGTGTAGCCTTTGGTTTGTGTTAATTCAACTTAAAGCTTTACAGCATAGTGAAGTGAAAGTTGTGTGTTTCTCATCAGCTTCTTGTGTGCCCACGGTCCTGACTCATAGCAGCAAACCCAAAGCTGCAACTTTATATTTTACTGTTTGGCAAAATCTGTGAGCAGTGAAATTGTCTGCAGTGCATATGCACGGACCCAGAACCTCTCTTATTCTTAAAATAGTTCCAAATGCTGAAGTCTGTACTGAACACTCAGCAGATTTGCATGTAGCCTCAGAGAAACCTTCCTTATTAGTTCCTATCAGAACACTTATTTTTTTCAGCATGAAGGGTTAGAAACGTTTATCTACATGATCAGAACTCACTGGCTCTGATGGGGTGGCTTTTTATTTTCCTTTTTAACTGCAGAAGTTTTTACCTACAGAAGTTTCTACTTAGTGAGCCAAGAGATAGGTTCTTTTGAAGTGAATTAGACTTGTATTTGTTTCCTTGCAACCAAACAACACCAGCAATTCATTTGAAACTCAGCTCCCAGCTCAGCACACAACATCAGTCAGGGTTAGGGTGTGCATGTGTGTTCAGGGGGTTGAATACATCATCTCATAAATATTACAGCTATTCAAATGCCTGTGCAGTGAATAATCACTTGCATCAGGAGATTGCTGGGTGCTTGGTGACTTCTGCCTTGCATTTGAAGCACAGATTGAACACTTGTGTTCTTGCTTAGGAAGTCAGTGCTCCAGAACTGCTGGAGAGAAACCAGCAAATTTTAAAACCTCTGTAGACTAGACTAGTCCTTCAGTTTCTTCTGAAAACAGTTCTTTTGGAAGCATTAAAAAAAAACAGTTTAGCTGTCCAAGTAAGTGTGAGCATGAGAAAACAAGACTATAACTCATCAAGATCCCAATTCAGTTGCTTACAGCAGATGGCAATTCAAATACAGAGACTTAACAGAAACACTTGTACACAGGAGAAAAGAGTTCCTGTTAATGGAGACCATCTCAGGGGCTTCAGTGGCAGTTTGGTTTCATGTTGTGGCCTTGACTTTTACAAATTGAAGCAAAAAACAACACAAAAAATCCTTTGTCACTGTAAATGTCACACTAAAGTGTATAAACTTTATAAAGGAGGGATGATTGCAGAGCACACCAAGTGCTCCTTCCATTCTGCATTGTGCTGGTGAGGCCTCAGCTGGGATCACCCTGTATGCTGTTCCTGCAGAGAGAAATTCAGGAAAGACATGGATTAAAGTGAGAGCCACCAAAGGGGTGCACCATGAATCAACAGAGCCTCACCCAATCTAAACTAGGAGGATAGACAAGAAGAAATGGGAGTTTTAGGTCTGGGGAATGTGAAAAGTGACATGAGAAATCTTCATGCATCTAAAAGGCTGTTGCAGGAACGAGAAGAGCAACTGGGGTTTTTTTGTCTCTGTTGGATAGGATGAGAAGTACATGTAAATTATGGTAAGAGAGATCCAGCTTTACCATTAGGGGAAACTTTCTAAAGGCAAAAAGAGTGAATCATGAGAAACGAACATCTTTCCTGGATAGACTGTGGTGTCTGCACTGGGGAGGTCTTTAAGAGGTAAAACAGATGGGACAGAGATGCTTTCACAGGGCTGGAGGTAGATGACCTCTCAGCATCCCTTCCAGTGCTGTAATTTGGTGATCACCTCCTTGAGGGATGATTGCAGAGCACACCAAGTGCTCCTTCCATTCTGCATTGTGCTGGTGAGGCCTCAGCTGGGATCACCCTGTATGCTGTTCCTGCAGAGAGAAATTCAGGAAAGACATGGATTAAAGTGAGAGCCACCAAAGGGGTGCACCATGAATCAACAGAGCCTCACCCAATCTAAACTAGGAGGATAGACAAGAAGAAATGGGAGTTTTAGGTCTGGGGAATGTGAAAAGTGACATGAGAAATCTTCATGCATCTAAAAGGCTGTTGCAGGAACGAGAAGAGCAACTGGGGTTTTTTTGTCTCTGTTGGATAGGATGAGAAGTACATGTAAATTATGGTAAGAGAGATCCAGCTTTACCATTAGGGGAAACTTTCTAAAGGCAAAAAGAGTGAATCATGAGAAACGAACATCTTTCCTGGATAGACTGTGGTGTCTGCACTGGGGAGGTCTTTAAGAGGTAAAACA